ACTTCTCCCTGCAGTAAAGTGTTTTGATCACCTGGTTGTGGCTTCCAATGTGACTCATGGTACTGACGGCAAGAGGGATTTCCTGCCTACGAGGTGTTTGGTAGCTTCCTACATAAAGTGCATTCTCCAGTGTATTTTGTGTAACACTACACTCTCAGCAGAACTTGGTGGACTAGTGGAAAGAGAATCCCACTTTGCCTAGCAGAAAAGCATCCAATAAATTCCTGTGTTTGGCAGAGCACCCCACAGGGGTAGGTGATGCTTCAGGTCATGGTGTGGTGGGCACATGACAGCTACAGTAGGATCTCAGTGCTGACTGAGGGGAAAGTTGAACGGCTTATGCCATTTCCATCCCCAAATATCTACCTCACCCCCTTGGGGTCACCGTTTCTAGCACAATTTGACTTAACTGAACATAAAGCAGCTTTTTAGCCGCTGCAGTTTGCAACCCAAGTGTCTGAGCTTAACTAGCAGCAGTTTTAAGGTACCTTAATATACCAGGCTGTGAACTGCACTGGTTCTGCAACCGCTTAGCGAGTGGTTCATTCCAGCCAGCTTGAGTCTGCCTGTGCTCATGAGTCAACGCTTCTAGTTTTGTCAGCTTGTTGTAATTAAGGGCTGACCTGTGTAAATGCGATCGTGTTTGGAAATAATTGTCCAACATATTTCTGTCAAATTATGATTGACTGCTCTTTACTATCGTGACACTTACTGGTTTTGCTCACCTGCCCCGTTTGGACATAGATATACCTCTGCTGACAAACTTGCTAGCTCTTAGCAGTGAGATCTTAAGCAGTCTTGCAATAGATGCTTCAGGAATTTGTAAGCACAGTTGCAATCTGCAGGCTTCTCAGCAGACCTGTAGTGTTCACAGGCTACAAATAGTTGTGTTGGTATTTACACACACATGAAATAGTTGTAAAAAAGTCTTTCTTGCCCTTGGCTGGGCAGAATTGCTGGTGGGATGGGTATTAGGAAGCACAGCCCCGCAGTAGCTGGTGAGACACGTATCTTCGTGCTTAGGCCTCGGGGGTTTCCATTGTAATGGATTTTGCAGTTTTTCCTTACATAGAAGAGGGGCAGTGGAGCCAATACAAATGGGGGGCTTTGCGTGCCCCACTGTCAGACTAGACCATTGCCTTTCAGTCAGAACTGGTGAGTGACATGTCGGATACATATAGGAACAGCTTTGCATTGAAATCATGGAGGAGTTGGATGAGACATCTGCCCGTCCCCTTTGCCCTGGCAGCCCAGGAGATGGTTCTGTCTGGGGTGCTGTACTGCCGCAGCAGTCTGAAAAGTCACTTCTCTTTGACGCTTGTCTCATTTCTTTGAAGGTAAAGTCTGACTCTTAGAAGAAAAAGGCTGAAGGGAGAGTCATCTTATTTTTTTCTCTGAACATTAGTTTTCTCTTAAATTCTTCTTCTCTTTTTTCTTTTTGATGTATTGCACATTTTGTAACCAGATTATTTTTGGCCAGTAACAAAAGGTTAATAATAGCCATAAAAAGAAAATCAATCTTTGATTCCCCCCCCAAGGTAATAAAGGAGAATTTTTTTATAAAGGTCTCTGTTCACACTTAGGTGTGTTCCTAGAGAAGGCAGACACATTTTTATTCTCAGCCACATATAAATTGCAATAACACTTCAAGACTTTGTGACCTAATGTTTATTTCTCTTCTTTTTTATTTTCACCTTTACCCTGTAAGAATTCACATCCAAAGCAAGAGCAGAAGGAATTTTAAGAGCAACAAGAAGAAAAAAGGAGAGGGGAAAATTCTGGCTTCCTAACAGGCCATAAACACCGCAGCGCCTGCTCTTATACATTACCAAATGCACTATCAGTTAATGTGTAGGCTATAAAGAACAGTGGGTTAAGTGTAAGGGAACCTCTGGTGACTTGAATCAGTGGCACTGTTATTTCAGAGCGATGTGCTCTCGATAGAAGTTCCCTTCGCAGGCTGCATGCAGCACCTCTGCCAGAGCCTGGTGTGCAAGCAGCCTCTGCAATTTCCACCTGCTGCTCAGGTCTTCAGGTGTTTTTCTGTCTTGTTCAATTTTGCAGCAGTACCTACATGCAGGCAGCATAAGAGATAAAGAATAAATTAGGGTTTATGAGGGTTATGAGCAGGTAGTGAAGGAGAGAAATGTTATAGACCAATTTTTTTAAAAATTGCCCGAGTTTTAGTATGCTTCTAAAAAGTTAGTCAAACAGCACGACAGATTTATGCTCTCTTCCATTACATTTTTAATAAATGCTCTTCCATCTTGGCTCTCTTGGAGTGTGCTAAAGGATTTAGCTGCCCTAAGCGGACAGTGACGGTGGTGCTCTGCTAGGTGACCTGGAGCAAGTTCACTGTGCCTGTAGATGTGCCTTACTCGCTTTTTGCTGCCTTATTTTAGTTATCTTTGTACTATCTGTTGGCATAGTACTTGCAGTCTGTGGATCAAGAGGCTCTACAAGAGTCAGCTTCCTGCTCTTTGTTGATAAACAGACAGCGTGGGAGCAGGAGGAGAGATTGCCTGGCTCTGCTCATTGCTGTAGCATGCTCGAAACCGCTTTAATTCTGGGAATAACCACACACTCCTGGACTGCAGTGGTCCAGCGCCTGTGCTTTTTGTTTTAAACAGTGGTACTGCAGTTTCAAAAGGGTGGTTCACTAACATCACTGAAAAGCTGCAGCCATTGAGTTCTCTGATTGTTCGTAATTAGCTCTAAGAGCACATTTGAAAAGAGGTGGTAAGCAATTGCCATGGGCAAGGGGATACAGAAAGGCAACAGGCTTCTCTACTTCGTTGAAAAGCGGCATTTGTGTAATTGAATTACCTAAATCTTCAGAGCCAGAGGCCATTTCAAAGTGGGTGGTAGTATGGTATTTTGGAGCTCTGCTGGAAATACCCAGAGCTTGGGGCTTAGTCTGAAAACAGCCTCCTTCCACTGGAATTGTTTGCCTAAAATGTAGGCTTTTAATTGAGTGATGAAGTGAAAGGAAGGGGAGTATATTCATAATGTAACAGTTATGAAGGAGCTCGGCAACATGATTATAATATCCATTTCTAGCTTTAAAATATATGAAGACATGAATAAGTTTTCCTTGCAGAGGATGAGCAACAAAGGAAAACCTTTTTCCCCTATGGGGAGAGTTTTTCCTTGCAATGTTTTCTCTGGCCTTGGAAAGGAGGTTTTCTGGGGCCAGGGGAGGCACTGAATGCAAGCCGTGCAGAATTGCACCCCAGCTTCGTGCTCCTCTGTGGCTGTGCTGTGGTATGCTCAGTGCTCCCCATGCCAGGAGCAGCAAGCTGGCCTGGTTGGAGACTTTATTTGCCCTCAGTTATATCTGGTGGTGCAGTGCCAGTGTGGAGGAGACAGCAGAACTCTGCTCGGCTCCTGGATGTGAGGTGCTGCTCAACCAGCTTTCAAAGGAGCTCCTTTAGTGTATTTAGGGGGAAGTTTAGGCACAGTGTACTACTGCTTCAGTGCTATTAGGTGGAAGAGTGCTCTTGGGCAGGGTCTAAGTCTGGTCACCTCCTCCTGCAAGAGTAAGGCAAGTAAGGCGGCATGAAAAGGAGGATTCTGTGCTCTGGTGCAAAGGCCCCACGTGATTGCTCATCCTACACAGGGAGCATTGCAGGTATACAAATTATTAGTGCTGTTTTGAGAGAGATGAAGGGCATCGTGGTATAGTAATTGTCCAATGAGAGGGAGAAGGACAAATAGCATCTCTCGCTTGTAACATCAAAACAGTAGACCATAGGCTCTCCTCCTGGACTTGCTGTGGCTGCACTTTGTTCCATTTGTGGGTACTCTTTACTCCAAAATAATAATCTGTGCGTTCAGGGCGTGCCCTTGGGAATGCGTGGGGAACTGTCCTGGAGTGGTTGCCACAGATCAGCTTACTCTGAAAAAGCTTTTCAAGCCTATCTGGCCATGTGAACAAGTCTTTAAAAAAAAAAAAAAAATCGTTAGTTGTAAGTGAAACTGTATCACTTGACACACAGGATAATTAAGGGCTGTGTATGTATCTGTGTGGTAGAGCAGCTGAATTAAAATTGTATCTAAATATTATTTTATTATTTTTAAACTACATCATTGTGCATAATCAGCTTATCAATGTTATGGTAATCATTTGTGTATGCTAAAATTGTACTATAATTATGATTACAAGGATGAAAAAAGCTATAACTGATCTTCAGTTTTTATTTGCTGACCTTTCACTCTCCTAGTAAAGGTGCAGATCACTGTACTGAGACTTTAAACCACTTGTCAGCAAGTTCTCAATGGTCACCCATGGACCCTCAGGGGTTAGAGAAGGAAACTTGAGAACCAAAGCTGAAAATTTTCAGGTTAGGAAATCTGTTGCTATTATATGTGGATTTTATTTTATTCATTCATATACACCAGTAATTTCAGTGAAAAGCATCTAGTGTCTGTGCTGTCTGCAGAGAGAGTTGGTTGCTCTTTGGTGCCAATGTTGTATCTGTATCTTGTACCAATTCGCACACTGCTGCACAGCTATCTGAAGTTGTGCTTGTTAGCATGTGATTTTGAGTTAGCTGGATTTTTTTTTTCTCCTCTCCCC